AGTGGCGGGTTGTTGTTGTTCATTTCGATGATCCTGAATGGAACACACACAAAATTTAATATAGATTATGTAATTAATTAATCATAATTTTGTACATGAAATTAACTAATTGAGTGAATAGGTTTTTATCGTTGCATTAAATCTTAAACTCTCCATCTATATTCCGTAACTGTGTGACCAGCCACAGAACATTACGACAATTTACGGGGTTGTGCTTCTCAAATGTGTTGAGATGGCAGATATTTGGCTACAAAAATTATTCATTAAAAAAACATTATTATAAGTAGTCTAGACTGTTTTTTTTGTTTAAATATAGCCAAATATTTTTGTTTATATATAAATATATAAAATATTTTTAATATCGCTTTAGATTAAAAGCAGTCATTTCAATGGTTTATAAATATAAATGAATATAAGCTTATAATATACAATGTGAAATAAAAGGCTGTTTTCTATCTATTTAAAATGCAATGAAAGGATTTTGTTCTTAATTTAGCTGAGTAAATGTGACAGTCATGATTTTAGTAACGCACAAAATAATCAGAATCATAATTTCATTCACTATATACGATTCAATTATATAAACCGAGCAAGTATAACCTGTTATAGTACACTAGGAAAAAAAAAAGACATTTTCGCTTTTCCTAGTTTACATAAGACTGATCTGGTCACTGCATGCGGCTCGTCTCATCAGCTGACAGCCGATCCTGGATCTCTCTCACTTTTAGCTTCCATAAACCCAAAGGCCAGTTTCTTTATTTTTAGGCCTGATCTTATGCAACAGCCCTCTCTGGTCCATCGTATAATTTCCTTTGTGTGGTTGGGAGTCAGGAGGCTGCCGCGTGTGTGTGAAGTGCGAGGCGACTGCATGCAGCTGGAGCATGTGCGCTATTCTGGATTACATACAGAGCTTCTCAGTGCTGCTCGTCATTCGGTCTCGTTGCTACACGCTGTGACAGAGAGCTTGTCACTCGGCACAGCACATGGTGCTCAGTGTGACCTGCAGTTACACTTACACACCAGCAGAGGACGCAGAGTGTTAGACGCTGTACGGACACACCTCGCCCTGGCTCTCTCTGGCTCTGAGTTCGTCCGCGTGCATGGTGTGTATTAAACACACCAATCCCATTTATATAAGAGTGATGACTCGCAGACAGGCATGCTGGCACTCTCTAGAACTTTCCCTTTCCCTGGGAGAGTCTGGACACACCACAGTTATACAATCGGACAGTGGTATTTGATATTCTTATCCCAGAAGGTTTGACAGCAGTGTCTTGGCTTTCAAAGTGCTTCACATCATGCTGTCAGTTACCCGCTTTGACTGAAAACATGTGGATAACACACTTACAAGATGGGCAACTTTACCATTACAGGCCATATCATGGGTACTACTGAGAGCTCACAGTACATAAATAAAGCTTAAATCAGCAAGGCCTTGTTGAAGACAACATTTTCCAAATGCCAGTTTCCCCCTCACTGTATATACTGTAGTATTGTAATATCATAATATTGTTCCTCATTTACAACACACGATGTACAATCTGTGTGAAAGTGTACGGGTGTACCTAATAAACTGCAAACTCAATGTGTCTGTGTGTCTATACCCAGTAAAAAAAAAATGAGTGGGTATTGTTACACACCTGTCCGGGTTGTAGAGTGTGTGAGAGTGCCTCACGATCGTCTCCACACCGAACTCCTGGGCCATTTTAATGATGGCGCCATCCCGCTCCTTACCGTACGGCTCCGAGTCATACTCAAACGTCAGACGAGTCACGTTCCACTCCTGAGAGAGCGAGAGAGAGAGAGAGAGACAGAGAGAGAGAGAGATCATTAAGATGCAGATGTGTATCGGTTTAGCAACAACAGTGCCTTGTTTGGGACACAAAGCAAAGATGTGTGATGTCACTGGGCACATCATGTAATCAGGTACAATGCGTATCAGTGGCAGAACAGCAACGAACAGCACAGCAAACTGTGCAGACTGCATTTCACCAATTCCAAAAGTACGAGAGTACTTCTGAAAGCATCTATCTTTGTAGCATTTACCTTTTTAAGCGCAATGTGACCTAGTTCCTTCAACAGTTTTAAATTCAAATCCAAATTTTATTTGTCACACATGCAACCATACGCAGAACCACATGGAGTGAAATGCTTTTTACGACTGTCCATGGCATAAAATAGAATTTACACAGAGTTGGAAAATGGGAAAATATTTTTTTAAAAAAAAGGTATAAAACTATAATGTGAGGATTTAAAGATGGGCGGCAGCAACAGTCTGATAAAGTGCAGATGTGTGAAGTTGTTTTGTAAGCTGAGGAAGTGGTATTAAATTGACCACATTTATAATAAATATTTATAAATACAAGATAAAGTGTATGTACAGGATAAAATAATTACTGAAAAGGAATGAACAGGAAATGTATTAATATATATTTATTACTTGATAATAAACCAAATTTATATCACAGCATGGCTGAATTCTCATGCCCTTGATCTAATACGTTATTGTTTCTATAGTAACAGCTCAAACACAGCGACTTGTGTTAGACGGACGGTCCATATAATCCAAAACCAATAATAAATGCTGCTATAAGGTAAGTGATAACAGGAACTAACTTGCCTCGTGGAAGGTCCATAACATTAAATGTAACTATAAATGGTTAAAATGTGCGATATGTCGTTCATTAAGAAATTAAAAATTGTAATTTTTGGCAATGTGGTACAAGAGGAATAACACTTTGGCTTTGGGTCATGCTGTTATAGAGAAAATAATACTCCTAAATAACAGCATGATCTGTTGGGTTATTCCTTACTGGACTCATATTTGGTGTCTTTGCCTGAGTAGATTGCGGTGATATGGTATCTGGCCCCCGTCCTCGATCATGCTTAATAACTTCCTCGATCGTGCTTAATAACGTCCTCGATCAGGCTTAATAACGTCCTCGATCGTGCTTAATAACGTCCTCGATCAGGCTTAATAACGTCCTCGATCAGGCTTAATAAAAACCGGCAATCAGTATCAGCCTCACAGAATGCACATCAGTCCATCTCTGCTATGAAGTGCACTAATATACAGTCCCCTCCAAATGTATTGGAACAGCAAGGCCAATTCTTTTGTTTTTGACATACACTGAAGACTTTTGGATTTGAGATCAAAAGATGAATATGAGACAATAGACCAGAATTTCAACCAAATTCATCGCCGGCTCGATGCACTTATTGCAAGCAAGGGATACGCAACCAAATATTAAGTGTTATTTACTTTAAGACTATCGTATGTTCCTATACTTTTGCTCACCTAAAAATTGGGTGGTCTGCCGCCAAAGGTGGCATGTTTTAAGTTGTTGAACACAACTGGATACAAACATTAGAAAATGAAAGCTGAAATTTTGATCTATTGTCTCATATTCATCTTTTGATCTCAGGCCCAAACTTCTTTGTATAGCAAAAACAAAAGAATAGGCCTTGCCGTTCCAATACTTTTGGAGGGGACTGTGGGTAAAATCTGTGATTCAAGTCGTTGAATTGGTTCACTACAGGTTACTCATCATTCAGGTGCTGTTAACTGTTTAGTAACCATGACAACTGCAGTTAGGACAACAGCTAAGTAAGGAAGAAAACACTTGGGGGTGTGCTGTTACATAAAAATAATCAGAAAGAGTTTGGTATCATCATGGCACCGTTCTCCTTACCATGAGTAGGCATGTTAAACCTCACATAAATCATATTCGCTTTATAAATTGATAAGTATGGGGTAGAAAATCCACCTTCAGGTGTAACCACAATGCAGAGGAAGCGATTCCTCAAGTGATATGTTAATAAAAAAAAACGATGATCGATGATGAGGGAATGAGTCTGTTCGCTTGGCTACAGAGAGAAACGGATAAAAAAAATAAATAAATCAAGCGAGGACTCGATATGTTGATGACGACGTCCAGTTGCCCACCCGCTTTCCTTCCAGCACACATCAGAGACAGAACACACAAAGTGGATTTAAAATGCAGTGTGACCTTTTTAAAAAATATATGCTAACCTTCAGAATCAAATAGCCGGATCAATATTTCCCAGAATCAGTATTTTATAGAGAGAAACTCTAACTAAATCTCCTGCCTCTGGAGCAGAGGAACGCTCAGAGAAGCAAATAAACTTAACAGCACCAACGACATAAACTAGCGATGCTACAGTTTTCATGGAAAAGTCCTCAGGACAGAGGAGTTTCCACTTTCCAGTTACATGGACATAGTTGTAAAGCTGCGTTTTCTTTGTCTTATTAACGTCAAGGAGAGGCTGCTGAGAGAATGACTGTTTAACAGGAGCTACACTGTCTGGTGGACTTTCCAAAACATGTAAATGTAACTGTAACCCATTGAACGTAACGTCATTCATAAATTAAACACTGTAATCGTTGTTGTATAAGTGGAATCACACATTTTGAACCATGCTCTTATACTAAAATAATACACTTCACGGTCTGCTGTATGTTGAGCTGCTTAACTAGTTATGTGCGATTATACAGAATACGAGAAATAAATGCGTATATGATTGTGTAGCACATCACATTTGTGCCCTCAACAAAATTGTTTAGCAATGTTTCAGCAAAGAGACGTAGGGTTCTCCTAAGTATTGTGTCTGGCTAGCATCTTTATTTTCACTCCATAAGTGACTGTGTGTGCCAGGAGGAGGGTCATATGCTTTGTGTTGCACTTTATTTTGTTCAGTTTCATCAGTGTTCCTTTTTCTGTCATCTGCGCACACTAATTTACCAGACTAGTAAAAACCTTTTTAACCTCGGACAATGTGTGTAGTGCAGCAGGCGGTGGGATTCGGAGCATGTGGCGCACGTCGTCGTCACATCACCGTGAAGTGTTATGTTGTGCGTAAACAATGAAAAAAAAAAAAACTGTGATAAGAAAGTCAATAAGGAGTAAGTATTCTTTTTTTCCTTTTTCGGGTTGCTGAACCTACTTCTCCGCTAGAAAACTATGAATATGAACTATAAGGGCAGTAGTAGTTCAGTGGTTAAGACGTTAGACTAATGATCAGAAGGTCATGAGTTCAATCCCCAGCACCGCCAAGCTGCCACTGCTGAGCCCTTAAGCAAGGCCTTTAACCCTCAACTGCTCAGTTGTATAAATGAGATAAATGTAAGTTGCCCTGGATAAAGGCGTCTGCTAAATGCCATAAATGAATAAAAACGAATAGCCCAGACATGACATCGGCATCTCCTGATCTGTCTGTGTCCCTGAACATGCTACTGATATCAAGCAGCAAGAATCAACAGTCAGTTTTATTTGTTTTTACCACAAACAAATGATGATTTCGTTAAAATTGTAGTATCAGTCTGCGATAAATTGTCTAAGCGTGTATATCTGCATGACGATGTTTTCAGGACAGTCTCTGGCCACATCACAACCCTGATCAGGATAAAGCTCTTATTAAAATGAATGAATGAATGAATGATCATTTTTCATGTGTGAAATAATTATTACATGTTTGCCACAGAGGGCATCCAGGGGCCAAGATGTGAGGGATGAGAGAGAAAGAGAGATTCACGAACTGACCTTGAACAGTCTGGGAAACACATCGGCGGGCTGCCCTCGCACCACAAACAGCCTCGAGTTCAGTTTCCTTAAACTCGTATCCAGATCCTCTAACGACTCCAGCAGAAATCTGCAGGGGAAGAAAAAACACAGATTACAAACACGTTAAATAAATAAGCAATAAACCATGTCAGGTGTGTTGTTATAATCAGTGACAGGGGTGTGATGCAGCCTGACATGAACCGAGTCACAACCCTGAAATTTATTAGTTTCCAATAACAGCACGTCCCAAAGTGTTGTATTCCTCTTATACGACAACAATCTCCCAACGCTAACAATTTATTTATTAAATAACATCAAGACTATTTTTATCCGTTTATATTAACGCGTAGTGATGCCGGAGTTAGTCCGTGTCATCACTTACGATAATATACCAGCTATAAACAGTTTCCTGTCTTCAAGTTAATAATATTACAGAGAAGCCTCTCTAAGCTGAAGACTTTTCTGTGCTGGAAAACTAAAATTAAAGCTTTATCTCTGACTCATGTAAAGCTTTGACACTGTTTGAGACTCCTTACAAAAATGCTACATAAACATGTCCACTCAGAAAACGTCACCATATCAGCAATCACACACACACACACACACACACACCAGTTAATGCACAATATCTCTCATACAAGTTCCTGTGTAAACTGTTACTATAGAAATGATAATGTATTAGATCAGGTGCATTAATACAATCCTGTGATTTGCCTTGAAGCCGGAACTACTTTCAGAGCTGCTGTTAAAAATGAATCACTACCTTCTGACAGCGCTGTGGTATAAATGAAAAATAAAAACACACCAGGTTACGAAGGTTATAATCGTCACTTTCTTATTCTCTGTAGTCACCAAGAACTAAAACGCCATCATTAAAAATGTAGTTCCTGTAACTGTAAGCGCATAGGCGGTACCTCAGCCACGTGCGGCCGCGTTTCAATAACAGCGCTTGAAGTACACGAGGGTTACATCCGGGCACTTCTTAGTGTATTATCAAGCTGAAGAGTTGGCGCGCGTCACGCGCACTTTTGGAAAAGCGAGCACGCGATTTGAAACACGACCAAACGTTGTTGTTATGTTTGCTAGCGCCTTATTACCAACCGGGTAGTGACGCCTTCTGAGTTATTTTCTTTCTTTCTTTCTTTTTTTTTTTTTTTTAAAGAAAAAACACAATAAAGATAGATAGATAGATTCACTGCGTTTTCAGAAAGTTAAACGGAAAATTAATCCAGAGTATTTATATTTAGCTTGGGAAATGAAATTAGCATAAGACTAAGGACACGTAACACTAAATCTGTTTTGAATGAGCTATTTTTGATTAATAAAGCAAACAAAAGAAGCAAATATCTATTTAATGATCGAGTTAATGATTAACTCGATAAAGGAGTTACTCTTTGAGCCTGAAGGCTGAGTGAGGTAACGTCTTTAACAAACCTAAAAGCTGTAAAAGGTTCGCCGTTCGCCAAGTTAGCTACGAGCTGGAGCTGATTTAAGCTGCTGTGTGTGTGTGTGTGTGTGTGTGTGTGTAAAGGTCCACAGCTGACAGATAAAGCAGCTCACCTCCACCGGTTGACTCCGACGTTGGCCGCTCCAGCGAACCACGGATCCAAAACATAAACACAGCGCGCCGTGTCCGCGCCATTTAACGCCTCCTGCAAAGCCGGATTGTCGTGAAGTCGCAGCCCTTTTCGGAACCAGTGCACTGAATTCACCACCATGGCCGCAAATTTACTCCATCCTAGCCTTTAAAACTAAAAACGCCTCGAAGCTGATCTCCAACCAGTAACTGCCTCCAGTAATCCACAGCTGACAGTTTCCCCTCTATCTCTCTCTCTCTCTCTCTCTGCGGCTGTCCAGAAGTTCCAGATCATTGGTTCCATCCAAAACGCCTTCCTCATCCTCATGCTAGTGCACTTCGAAGTAAGGAATGAAACAGCGTCTTCAACGCCCTGCGTAGGCGCCCTAAACATCCAACAGGATGCCGTTTGGGATTCAACCGACACCTCGGCCAGCCGACGTAACACGGCTTGCCCACCTCTTCCCGCTCTCTCATTGGTCGGAAAAGCAGCACGTGCGCAGAATATTCAAATTAGGGGGTGGGCAGGTGAAGCGACGCAGCTATTGGTCGCTCCGCACGTGTTCGCTTCACGTTGCTTTGGTCTTCGTGTAAAATATAGCTTGTTTAATTTCCAAAATAAGACCCGCTCGGTGTAATAATGCGTTGTAATAATGCTACA